TTGGTCTATTTTACTAAAAATGGTCTTTACAAAAAGGTTTCAGATTAGAGCTTGCTTTCAAGTTAAAGCAGATCTATATAAAATGAAAGATTTTATATCTATAAGATGACACAAATATTATCTATATCTCTCTTCAACACGTAGTGTGAAAATTTATTAGACAATGTCACAGACCACTTCAAATGTCTTTAAATAAGAGGCCTAATAAAGTAATGAGAGAAACCTATACAAAATGTGAGGTGTAAAGGTATGCATTCCAAGCAGTTCTTCTAAATATGAATAAAAGCACCCAATACATAAATGTTAAATATACTATGACAAATCAGTCTGATATTCACAATCTGATGCCAAGTTTGCACCCAGTCTGAAAGCCATTCCCAGTCAGCCTAGCCTTCAATATTGCTTTCAATATTGTAAACTCAAATCAAATTTTAGCACACAGCTTTTCCTATAACTTAAAAGAAATCACTCTCCACCCCTGGACTGCTTTTTTTTTTTTTTTTTTTTTTTTGAGGCAGCTTACTTTAGGTACAAAACAAGAACTCGATTAGCTCCTCCCACCCTTTCCAGGGAAATATCTGTAATATGAGGATAAGGGTGTCAGGAAAGAAGAAGAATGTATATTCAGGTTCACACTAGTGCCAAGAAATCAGATATTGGGGATTAATCCAAAGGAGATGCCATGCTGCCAGCAATTATTTTTAAAAATCAAGCCAAAGAGGGAGGTAAAAGAAAGCAAAAGAAGGCAGGGGAAGAGAAGAATTGGGGGCTTACTCGGGACACACCACAGGCACAGAGGAAGTGGAGAAGAGGAATGGCTTTCTGCAAAATAAACCAGCAAATCCTTTTCCTTGTAAAACCAGAAGAGCTACAGGGCTGGTTGAAGCTTCACTCGTGGTTTCCAGTAGACTCCTTGTATCCCAATTTCCTTCCCTCTACAAGAGAAGTCACAGGCACACAGGTGCATGCACACATGCACGTATGAGCAACACATACATACACACACAACACTTTTTCTTTGGACGATGTCCGGAACAGCATAAATGGCACTAACATAGTTTATTACCATACCTATTTATTTATAAGTGAATTTTCCTATCCGACTTGTCTTCATGGGGATTCGTTGTCAATGAGTTCAGAAGCAGAGATAATTTTTTTAAATGGCAAGGGACTGCAGTTAATTTTCATTTCCTTCTTATGCTTGAGCAACCTATCCTTCACAGGCAAAAAACAAGCTGTCATAAAGCCTATTACTACATCAACAATAAAACATGTTACGAGCTTGGTAAAACAAGTAAAATAAGCATTGAAAATTTGATGTATGAAACATGTATAGAACCTACTTTAAAACACCGGTATAAACAAGGAATCGGTGCGTAGAAAGTCATATAATGGCTAAAATTAAAGGAGCATCATCCTTTCACTGTTCCTCCCTTCATCCAAAAAAAAAAAAAAAAATACATATCGAGTTCCATAGGCTTAAAATATTTTCAGTGATATATACAATGTTGTTTCAAAAGAAAGAGAGTACTCACCATGTGCCTGGAATTGTGCTGTTTTACAGGTACCTGCCCAACCATTCACAAAACAACTCAGTGAAAAGGCTTCTACTATTGTTTCCGTTTTATAGATAAGGAAACTGACTCAAAGAGAAACCCAGCTATTGGGCACTGTAGCTAAAATTTAAACTCCAGCTTTCTGATACTGGGCCAACTCACAACTATAATTCATGGTTTTTTATGTAGATCCATTGAAAATGTGAACTCAAACCACCAGAGAAAAATAGAAGGACCTAGAATGCATGCTACAGGGGAATTTCCAGTCTGCAAAGCACTAGAGGATACTGCTGAGGTATCCATCCTACCCCTAATTTGCCTGCCTCCTGAACAAGGCAGCTAGGTGGTCATCCATATGTCTGATACTTTCTAATGAAATTAGTTTAGAAATTTAAACTTCCATGTTCAAACATAATTTTCCTATGGCCCTGTGAACACAAGGGAGTTCATGAAAGACATGTCCAGAAATAGAAGCTTTGGAAAGCTACTTAAATTTTTATCCTGATTTAGAAGCTCAATCTTTATTTTATATATATATAATCTTTAATTCAGAGATTATAAAAGGCAAATTGATGAATGAATAGGAGACCCTCCCATGCCACTCTGTGCTGAGAGATGACCTTCACAGTTCCATTTCCTGTGGATACTAGAGTGTGTGGTTTGCTTGAGCTCATGGCTGGTAGGGACCTTAAAGGTCATCTTGCTTTATGACTACAGCAAAAACTTGGAAGCGGAAAGGTCAGCCCCAATATCTTGCCATTTTCTTTTTGACAGGTGGAGACAAAGTGAGAATCAAAAAGAAATCTTTGTTTGTGACCAAAGACAGAGAAGCCAGACCACTCATAAAACTCTTATTTGTATTCACTTTCAGGCTGGCAGCAAGAAATAAATACTTGCGGTTAATCAAAAGAATAGACATTTGTTGTATTTTAAGGCAATACAAAATTTGAGGGAAGATTGTGTTTTAAAAGAGAAACATAACTGAAACATATTGTCAAGATAAGATCGGTGACTGCCCCTCTACCCAAAATAAGAGAGAGAGAGAGGGTTTCAAATCCCCTCCTGGTTGTGTCTCCTGTGTGAGCCACACTTGGAGACTCGCTTTGGTAGTTTTAGTGCAAAATAAAGAGAAATGTCTAAAATCGAATGTTTGAGAGTTGAAATAAAACACAAAGATTGCAATTTCTTAACATATATTTATAGGAAAAGAATCTACAAAAAGCTCTATATAGTGGTTTAATTGAAAAGAATTAATCAAGGTGTTGGAGATTTTAAGTGAAAGCAATTGAGTCTGGGAAGTCAGATGGACTGAGTTCAAATGTAAGCTTTTCCTCTTACAAACCACATTTCCTGGGCAAATTACTTCATATCTCCAGTAGTAAATTCCCCCATCTACATAATGTGCATAATAATTCCTACCTTGTAAGATTGCTGTGAGATTTGTGTGTAATAGCGTGGGGTATAAAATCCTTGGCACTTCTTCTTTCTCTCCCTCTCTTCCTTCTATTTTAATGACCTTCCTGAAATTAGAAATGTCCTGGCGGGGAGCGGGGAACACCTTCCACTGAAATAAATACCTGAGCAAAAGTTGCAAAACCCCAATGCAACACCATCTACCACAAAAGAACTATAAAATATTCAGTTCATCTTAGTAGCAACACGTAAATTTCACATCCTATAATGCTACAAAAAAAAAACATTAAACTTCATTTGTGACATACTTACTGTAACATTTTTTGTAAGTATAATTCATAGAAAACATTTTGAAGTTTTTCTTTGTGTGGCGTGATCCCCTTTCAGTTCCCTGAAGCCACAACTTACCATTTGAAAGAAAATTAACGTGCATGACATGAATTTTCAGTACTATAAGAAAATGGAAATGAAATTCAAATTCTATAAACACTTATGTGTAAAAGAGACAAAAAGTCATACAAAAACTACTACTTCTTTTAGAGGTGTGTGTATGATAGACCAGTTAATTTACATCTAGGATCTAAATTTCTCTGTCTAGTTTTCAAATCAAGTAGAAAAATTAAAAATGCTGCTGATTTAGGCACGCCTGGGTGGCTCAGTCAGCTAAGCAACCTACTTTTGGTTTCAGCTCAGGTCATGATCTCAGGGAGATTGAGCCCCGCCTCCTGCTCTGCACTCAGCCTGGAGTCGGCTGGAGATTATTTCCCTTCCTCTCTCCCTCTGCTCTTCTTCCTGTGCACTTTCTCTCCCTCTCAAACAAATAAATAAATAAATAAACAGATAAATAAATAAATTATTTTTAAAAAATACTGTTTATTTAAACTACATCAAGTCTCCTATGGAACAAAAATGGAGTGTAAATTTTCAAAAACACATGTTGCCCGTTGATATACAAGGACCACAGGAGACATTTCATAATTTGCACACATGAAACACCAATTTCTTCCCATCAGGCCCTCACAACCTAGAGAAATCATCTGGTGGCACGTCGTCGTTTGAGTTTTAACACATCCATTTTGTGAGTTAATCACAAAGGAGTCACACACTTGCCCTTCCACACACTTTACCAAGGGCTTTGGGGTTTGAAGGATATTTTAAGGGTGATCTCATCAGAAACAATACTACTTCATAGAAATCTTTATAAGCAGGAATTTGTCACTCAAAGATCTTATCTTGGCTGGAAGAAATGACAAGCAAATTATGTTTTATTATAGCATTTGTATACTATGCATGTGAATCCATACAGTGTAATTGTAATAGATCTGCACATATATATATGCCATCTGCATATGTGTGATATTTCATAGTCATTGCTCCATTTTCTCCTTGTATTATGCCATCATCTTTACTGTGTGGCTCAGTACCATATTATTTTCATTTCAACCACAGCTGCATCATTTTTGCTGCCAGATCTCTGGTTTTTTTTTGGAGAAAATATACAATTTAAAATTGTTTTTTTTCTTTTTTTTTATCAGAAAGGAAAGTCATCAAGAATTAGATTTTATTTTAGGAACAAAGTAAGGTTTCATGGGAGAAAAAAACAAAGCCTTGGTGTAGAGAAGGTTTGTTCATTTTCTATAGCCTTACTGAAGTGTCCGTATGCCTTGATAAACCTATCAATGTTTGGATCATCTCAATGGGGGAAATGACTTAACTTAACTCTATTTTGGTGTCTCAGCAAAGGTAAGTTGTCCATTTTGAGAGCCTAACTGGGTCCTTTTATACTACTGCATCTGTGAATGAAACCCCAAAGTCTGCCCAGCTAGCTTGGTGCCTCCAGTTTCCCCAAATAGAAAAGGTGGACGGCCAGTGGGTGGAGGAGGAGGTGTGGGAGCTGGCCAGGGACTTACTCTCTGGCAGAGTTGCCTCAGACCAATATCTCGTATTCATAAAAACCCAGGTGAGAGACAGATCAGTGGAGGAGGGAGCTAGTTTGGTTACACTGATGCTCTACTATTTCATGTTCTCCAGTGTCTCTCTTTCAATGCCATCATGGAAGAACTGGGAATCTCACTCAAAAATCAGAAAAAGCTAAAGAAAAAGTCAAGAACTAAGGGGAAATCTCCCTTCACAAGTATCCTTACTTGTCATCAGAGACGAACTCAGAGGAAAGAGACTGTGGCATAATCCAAGAACACATCTGCAGGCAGCTTTCAGAAAGAGAAACGATATGCTCGCTACAGGTTTTAGGAGAAAGGATTCCTGACAAGTGTGTGACATGTTTCCATGTATCTAGATACATAAGTCTGGTTATGTATCTAGATATAAGAAATACGAAATTTTAAAAACTCACATAGATCGTACGTGGAAGCAGCACTGGTTCTTTTGAAGTAAATTTGTATGCTCACTTATTTTGCCTTTTCTCTCTTCTCGATAAATTGCTGTGTGTGCTTTCTAAATAATAATAAAACAACAGGGTTTTTGGTTTTTTTTTTTTTCAGAACAAGTTCTGATTTGTTGGTTTGTTCCCCTTTGCTTGGCTCCCATTCACAGTGTTTGGTTGCCAAGTGTTATCTGTTGTCAGTTTGCTATTTTGATGATTCTTCTTACCTGTTAAGACAGAGAGAATTATTTCTGGCTAAGTTAAAAAAAATACTTTTAGTTCATACCAAATACCTAGCTATTATAGTAAAGTAAAACTATTCATCTTTGTGCTTTAAAACCTAACTTCATAAATACTTTAAAATGGCACTTGGAACATCGGTGAGCATAAGATAAAAGGATTCTAAAAAAAGGGATATTCATTCCAAAAATAAAAGTGTCTGCCACATTCTGGGTGCCATTCTAGGTTCTGGGCATACTGTGGTGAGGAAGGCAGATATGGTCCCTGCCCTCACATAGTTTATAGTTAAACAAAAAAGAAAAACATTCTGTTACTCAAAGTGGGATTAGCATTTCCTCTATGGAAGTCAGAAGCTGAAGGAACATGCCGGAGAAGTATTCAGCCATAGAAGTCTTCCTGAAGGAAGGTATAGCTCAACTAGGATGACAAGTTAATTAAGTGAAGGGAGGGACATAAGATGGAGAAGCAAGCATTCCAGGCTGCGGAAGCAGCATATCTGAAGGCCCTGAGAGAAGAGCAAATAGGCCCAGAATGGTGGAGGGAAAGGAGCTGGGTGTGTGGCAAAATGCAAGAGGATGCAATGCGTCTGACAGGTGACAACCACTCTGGCTGAAAGTCAAGAAAAGATTGAAGGCAAGGAGACTAAGGAGGAAGAGACAGGGTCACCTGAAGGCTCTTTCAGGAACCCAGGGAAAGGACATGGCAGCCAGGCCAGAGCAACCGCAGACAGACCACTGGATGACTGAGGTAACTTAGAAGCACAACTCATGTGGGAGAATCAGAGATTCAGACGGTGGTCATGAAGGAGGGAAGAACGGGGTTGAGGAAAAAGCCCGGGACTGAGGTAGGGGGAGAGGGAAGCTTCACTGGAGAGTTGAGGTATCATTCATTATATTGGGAACCAAGGGAAAGGAGCAGGCACTGGGTCAATATTTCATATGATTAAGTCCCATTAGTTTCTGTAGGATGATTCTATCACTAAAAGAATCTTTTAGTCTAGTCCCTGTAGAGTTTAAGTACAAAAATGTTTCCAGACATCAAAAGAAAGAAGTCACCTTTAAAAGAGCAATAACATATATTGGACAGATATTTTTCTGTGATTATGATCAGTGCTCAGATTTGGGATCAATCGGAATAAGAATACAATGTATTGTATTCAAAAATGCATTAAGATGCTTACATAAAAACCATGAAGATGTTTACATTGAAAACTATACGCTTACAGATAGAAACAGACAGAAAAACAAACAGATATATGGTGAATCCAACAGCTGAAGATGGACTAGAATGCTAATATATTAGAGGGGAAATATGTAATTTACTCAGTTCACTAAAAATTACACCAAAGGCATTCTATTCTCCATTTTCTAATGTGACAGTATGATACTTTTCTCTCATTTCAGAAAATATTACTGTATCTTTTCACAGACTGCTACAGTAATTTGTGGGAAAAGAAGTATTTCAGCTTCTAATATCTAAAATATATTGTGTGTCAATCTGGTTTACAGGTACTTTAAGGCCCACTAACCACTTTCATTTTTACTTAGCCATAACTGCATTTTCATTCAAGTCATATAATACTTGCTATGAGTAAATTGGTTAAAAAATATATTGAACCAGGCAAAATTGCAGAATAGGACTTTTATGGCAACTACTGAATGTGCATGATCTTCTTCCTTCCTCCACCCCAATATTTTCATTCTGAAAGCACGTTTGGTGTGAATGCATGTACATATGTTTCTGTGTGTCTCTATGTGTTAGGGCAAAGAACAGAGTAAGATAGTGAGTTCAGAGGAGAGAAAAAGAAGAAACTGTGGAATATCCGGAACTTGGTCCAGAAAAATCCCTGAGAACAACCATTAATCTTGGAGATTTTCATCCTTTTCACCAAAGAACAGTGATTCATACACAGTTATGTGGAAATCAATGGCAAAGTTAATTAAAAACTGGATCTTACATTTCTTCCTTCAGCAACTTCTTGATGCTAATAGAAAAAAGATTACCCAGGTGAAATATTCAGCCAGAGAGAGGGAGGTCAGTGTTGATTGAAAGACAATGTTCATGGCTAAGATTTATTTTCCTTTTCAAGTTTCCAATCTGGGCCTTTCTTGCCTTTAGTACAGAGAAAAGGGAAGAGATGATCCCTTGCTTGCATTGACCTCATGGGGTTGTTGACACATCTAGGAGTTCAGAATTTTCAATTTTTAGCCTAGAAGAAGCTGAAGAGAGAGAAATGAGGAGAAAGTAGGTCAAAGAAACTAGACAAAGATCAAATAGATCAAACTTCTTGTTCTCTGTCTCAGCAGTTCCTGCTTTAATTTAACCCTTTGCCTGATCCAAAAGACTAAACATGTTCTTTTTTTATGTCAAGTTTTTATTTTAATTCTAATTAGTTAACATATATAGTAAAATTGGTTTCAGGTGTAGAATTTAGTGATTCATCACTTACATACAACACCCAGTGCTCATCACAACAAGTGCCCTCCTTAATACCCATCACCCATTTAGCCCATCCCACCGCCCTCCTCTCCTCCCTGAACCCTCAGTTTGTTCCCTATAGTTAAGGGTCTCTTATAGTTTTCTCCCCTCTCTAAATCAAGAAGATCCTGGGATTGTCATTTCAAAGGAAGAATAATATAAGAGTGACTGTTCTGGGAAAGGTATTTCTAGGAGCTATCCATGCAGTGTGATTTTTTTTTAAAGAAACATAAAGTCTACCAGTCCCAAAAGATATGGTCCACCAGATTCTCTCCAATGTCAGAGGGGGCGATGTGTTTGGTAACAAAGTGAAGCATTGTCTGAAAGAGACTCAAGTTACATTCTACTTGCTCGAGGCATTTGTTAGTTGAATCCTTCAGCTTGGAGCAAGGAGAAGGGAACAGGTATTCACTGATCAAGGATGTCCAGAGGAGTGTCACGAGTGTACAGGGCTAGGACAAACAAGCCATTCCACCTAATGCAATGGAGAAGAAGCCAGTTAGGGTGGGGAGGAGGTAATAAAAAGTGAGGCTAGGACTTGAAAGGCAAAATCAGTTCTCAGTTTTGTTCATGTCTAGTCCTGTATACAAGGGGAAATTTTTTCCAGTTACATTTCTTAAAAAATGGCCATGTGGAGGAAAAAAGCAGGACAAAATAGGAACAGTAAAACCACCAGAGTAGAGACATATATGCTATATTTACAAGTAGTAACTCAAAGTCCCATAAGCCTTGGGAAAGAAATGACCAACGTTAAACCATACTGACAAGTTGACACTTAGAAATCCAGAGGTGTGTGGGCTGGGTTTGCAGATGAGCATCCTCATACTATGTCACAAGTGTACCAGAGAGGTTGCTTTTAAGCTTTGCCCACAAGATAACCAATTAAAGACGTTACTTCATTTTTACACAGCCTAGTCCGTTAACTGAGACTCCAAAAAGGATTTGTGGGTATGTATTGTCTGGCTTGCATATTTAATTCATATGCTTTTTCCTTCCTTTTCCCCATGATTTCCCATCCCCTTTTCTTCATTCATAGAATGTCCAGATGTCCTAGTTTGCCTTGAACAATTCTGCATGAAGCCTGAAATCATGAAGTCTTATAGGTTAAGTAGCCCCCTAACGCTCACAAAAGCACCCCAGTGTGGACAATAAGTCATAGGATATTTTGCTCATTGGTCCTCAGACTTCATCTTCTTGGCAGCCACAGAGCTCTACTAACAAAGTTGAAATTTCTACTGATGGCAAAAGAGAAGCTTCATCCAAATGGAAGGCAAGGGACCACTATCCACCATCTAAGTAATCCAGGATTATCTGGAAGGAGTCCGATTGACTTTGATATTTCATTTGGACATTATGAGAAAGATTATACATATATAGGTATAGATAGATGGACGTATAAATAAAAGACAGATGATAGATGATTAGATAGATAGATGACTGATGATGATAGATAGATAGATATAGATAGATAGATCTCACTGTCTTAGTTTGATATGGATTATGCTCCTAGTATGTATCAAAATCATGCTATCAGATGTTAATCATTGTAATAGCAGCTATCATTTAAAGAGGATGTGCTGAATCCAGTTGCATTATATGTACTTCACAACATTTGCTCATATAATAGTGATAGCAACCTTAAAGTAAACATTATTTGTTACAGAGTTAAAAACTGAGGTTCAGAGGGCTTTAACAGCTTGCCCAAGGTCACTTAACTATAAAGTGGCAAACGACGCAACATAACCCCAACCACATCATCACAACCACACTCCATTCCCTCCTAACTCTGAGTACTATTGAGCAAACTCAGGCTTCCCCCAAAACATACCTGATCTTACAGTGTCCCCTCAGCAGCCTTATGAAGTTGGCACTCTGTATTATTGTTTCTATTTCAGAAAAAGAAATTGCAAGAAAAAAGAGTAAGTAGCTCCCCAAAGGCAGACTGCCTGTAGGCTGAAGAACCAAGATTCTAATTTCAATCTATCAGAGTCCAGAGTCTCTTAATCACAGCACTAAATGGATTTATGTATTTAATTTTTTTGTTTTATTTATATTAAAACAAATATTTGTTTTGTATTAAAACAAATTCTTGACCCAACTTTTAAAGGAGTATCATAGGGCAATTAGTCATCTCCCATTATCATTTAATAGAATAAATAGAGAGATAGCTATTAATGTTTCCAAGAAGCAATATCGAAGGATACCAATGCCTTGCCAAGGTACTTAAATAGTAAAATGTCATTTCTAACCCTTAATAGTTAATAAAATGAACTCTCCACCAAATGTGCAGACTAGTTGTATTACTGATTTGAAATAATTCTTTGAACGTTTCTTGTTCCTAAGGCAAGTCATTCAGATCATAATTAAAACATATGAAATGGC